GTATGAAGTAAGCCAATCGATTAGAGGTGGTTTGATACCTAGTCGTTTGAGCTTATTGATAAGACACAAGTGGTTAACCTTATCAAAAGCTTTTGAGAAATCAAGGTAAATGATATCAACCTTTCCCTTGCGATCGAGGATGCTTGTCCATCTGTCCACCGCAGTCAGCAGGTTGGTTATACAAGAGTAACCCTTCCTGAAACCATGCTGTTGGGGTGAGAAGAAATTTAAGGACAGTAGATAGTCATTTAAACCGTCGCATATCAGGGACTCCATGAGTTTTGAAGGTAATGACAGAAGAGCCACCGGCCGATAACTTGAAGGTTCATTGCGTCGACCACCTTTGAAAATTGGTGTGATGTGAGCCAACTTCCAATTTTCCGGTAATTTGCCTCGGCTTAGCGAGTGTGAAAACATCACGCTAAGCGGCGTTGCCAGGATTGAGGCTGCCTCCCTCAGTATGGCAGGATGAACCATATCCGGGCCAGGAGAAGTGTCTAGTCTTAAGTGCTGCAATTTCCGGAACACCAAGTCAGCGCTTAGGTCCACTTCGGAAAGTCCTGTGGAATTGCAGATGAAACTGTCGTCAGTAAAGTTGATGTCAGCCGGTTGAAATGTTTGAGAGTAATGTGCCGCCAGAAGGTTAGCGGCGTCGCCATCGTTGTTGGTCGGGCCGTTAAGACCTACCAGTTGAGAAACTCCTGTTTTGGCTTGACGAAGAGAGGCTGCATAACGGAATAGGCTTCTAGGGTTAGAGGCGAATTTGTCCATAAGCTTTGTTGGTACTGAAGCCTGTCTTCTCTTATAGCCTTCGTGCATATGTTCCTTATATGTTTATATTGCCTATACGCTCCGTCGTTATCAGTTCGTTTGTATTCCGCCCAACAGTGCCTTTTGCGGCTTAGCAGGCGAAGGGTACGGTTCTTGATTACTGTAGGTGGCTTGCAGCTTTTGGGAACCGTTTGAGGAACTGAATGGTTTGTAGCACATAAGAGAGTGTGCAGTAAGCAGTCCCAATGACCGTCCACATCGAGTTGAGGGTGAACATCCCAAACCACCTGTTGTAGATAGTCATGTAGAGCTGGCACATTCAGCATATTGCGCGGCAGTCCGTTCTGTTTTACTTTACGGCAGCGAAACATGGCCATTAAGAGTAGAAGACACTCGTAGGCTATTAGTATTTGACCACAGATGCCTCAGAAATATTGCTGGCGTCTGCTGTGATCACCGGGTAAGTAATAGTGAGGCTAGACGCAGGGTATTAGGGGATGATGGTAAATCAGTCGATGAGGTTGTGAATCTTCATCGACTGAGATGGTTGGGCCACGTGTTATGTATGCCCGAACACCGATTACCACGACGGGCAATGCTAACAGGTGTTCGGGATGGTTGGAAGAAAGTTAGGGGCGGCCAAACCAAAACGTGGCATCAGTGATTGAAGACACTAACTTCTAGTCTGAGCCATGTTGGTAGATGCAGACTACTTGGTTGGGGTCCGCGTGACTTTCGTAACCAATGGTTGGAGACTCTTGGTGACATGGCTCACAATCGATCACAATGGCGTCGATGTATACACTCTCTGTCTTCCCTAAAATTAAGAGATTAAAATCACTTCATATCTTTCTTTTTACGAACCAATTCTTTCTTGTACTATATTTCTATATGCAATCTCTCTCTTATATATTACCACCTTTGACCTAACCACTGCTATGAATCCGGTGTTCATCTTGTTGTGCTGATGCGGTATGGCAACCTGGACCGATGCACATATGTGCCTGGTCCTACATTGTAGCTGACTGACTGACTGACTGGCACATTCAGCCGTTTAAAATTCCAACGCAAATTATTGTTGGGATACCTTAGCTTAGTTTTGATGACAAAACTGAAGGCTATGACGGCATGATCGCTCTTTCCCAGAGGAGCCAGGATTGAGAGGTTGTCAACTAGGAATTCTTCGTTTGTGAATACACAGTCTAAGCGCGATGGTGCCTGACTGTTTCTCCAACGAGTTGCCGACCTCACATTTTCATATAAGCCCAAGTCATCGATGAGGTTGAAGAACCGAGCTTCAATTGAGTTGTCGCCTCCAGTGTACGTGTGTTCCGCGAAGTTGACTCTAGGGAGATTAAAGTCCCCTAGAATCAGGATGTGTGTGAAACCGAGACGGGTAGAGCGGGATAGTCCTTCCAGCATACGACTATCGTACTCGATGTCGGCAGTTGGCTTCCTGTAAATGACTCCGACTAGACACCTCGAAGTACTAGACAATCTTACAGAGCACCATATGGATTCCTCAAGATTGTTAAACTCGAGGTTGTGAACTTGGTGCACCTCCAAGCAAGAGCTTATGTATATGGCTACTCCGCCCCCAATTCCTGTTTTTCTGTCGTTGCGGAACAAAGTCATCCCAGGTAATGCTAACTCTTGGTCCGAGAACTGAGAAGATATCCAGGTTTCAGATATTCCTATCAGATGGGCCTTATTAGCGTTGCTAAGTTCACGTAATTCATCCAGTTTGTTTGGTAGACTCGCGGCGTTCATATATAAGCAGTTTATGCTTTCAATTTGGAACGCGTGAGCTTCGTCCTGTTTTTCTGTATGAGCCTTATGTGAATGGACAGGTAGCCCACCTATATGAGGTTTGCCGAGGTGGTAGGCCCTGTCCTTTACACGTTTTTTTATCATTTAGACAGTCCACAAGTGGAATGGTCAGCTCCAACTTGCCTTTGTGTTTGGTCCTAGCTTCGTATGGCCTATCCGGGTGCATGTGGATTCCAGGTGGCAATCGACGTCTGTTGGCACGAAATGCTTCCAGAACTGCAGCCGCCATGTGGGAAGATGGGAAGGTTATCTTCATTAGACGAGGTCTAGGATCACCGTCCTTCTTGGCTAGTCTCGTCACATGCTGAGTCAGTATGTGTTTGAGCCTCAAGGACTGTTTGATGAATTTCCATTCCCTGATGTCAGAATTTGATTGAGTAGGGTCTGCATTTTCCGGTATACCTTGCACAATTATGTTTCTTCCGCGGAAAAACTTCTCGCGAGATTCTTTAGGGATGTTTCGTATGATATTGCGCTCAGAGTACGGTATGTCGGGCAATATTCTTACGTTACCATCGGATTTCAGCAAGTGACTTGCTAGCAAGACGTCCTCTACGTCGGCAGCATTCTTAAGTGTTACTCGGAGAAGCCTCGGGTGATTTAGATGCTTAGAATCCTTTCCTCGAGTGAGCCGGGTGACCGTCAAAGGCTCTATTCTAGGAAGTTCGAGCTTCTTGTTCAATTCACCCCAGAGCATCCTGTCGTTTTTGTCCTGCAGACTGAGAGGAAGGTCAGGATTGTCAACGAGGTTCATGATAATGAGAGAATCGTCACGAACTGTTGTTAATTTACCAGGTTTCACGATGGGTTCAGGTTTAATAACTTGTTGTTTGGAGGTCAGTGCGCGTTTTTGAGTCTTGGGCTCTTTATTGACCGGACGAACAGTCTTGGGGGTAGACTGTGCGACCAAATCACCAGTTATTTTCCGTACAGCAACACTTGGGTTGCTCGGCTTAGGCGGTGATGCCTGGTTCTTTTGGGCTCTCTTAACGTGGGTCGAATCACCTACAGGGTTTTTGGGAACCACTGTTGTGTTCAGGGACCCTAAGCTGGGAGACCCGAGTTTGCTTAGGGAGTCTAGTACCGTCGACGTAATGATGGTGCTGAGCCTCGACACGTCATCATTAGTGTTGATGGATGCTCCATCGGTGGTATACCTGTCGACATCCCTATTTTTGTATCCGTCGCACGCTCTTGTTTGTCTACCGGTTTTTTTACTATCGTTATCCAAGTTAACTGACAACTTGTTCCGAAGACCTGTCAGTAGGACAATGATGTTACTCAGCAAGACTACAGCGTCCGTGCTGCACGTGACACACACCCACTTTTGCTCTGACTTGCTGAGTCTGTTGTAAGCAGTTGCTGTCAGATCTGTGCATGCTTCGTGGAACCAACCTTTGCAGTTGTCGCACTGCATGCCAGTTGTAACAGCAAAACGGCATCCCGGACGTTTGCATGAGTTTTTCATGACTGTGTTGAAGCAAACTATGTTATAGATGCTTGCAAAAGCCTAAGACCTTTAAAAAACACTAAAAAGCACACTGAAAACGGACAAAAATGGATAAAACGAGTGATATAAACTGAAACTAGTCTATACGTGAAAAAAAAACCGAATAGTAAGCTGAGGCAAAACCACAGGTAACTATTAAATATGGTGAAACTCAAAAAAAGTAATCTACCGAACGTATAGCTCAGGATAGATTCTTTAGAACTGAAATGGTACTTTTGTTGCGTAAGAACACAGCAAAAGTTTGATAAATGCAAATCACGTTAGGACTAAACTTCCCGTTCGAAAAGCGCGCGAACTATCAAGTTGGTGGATGAACTTTCCCAACTCCCTTACGGCGAGCACTTAAAATGCCTGAATTTTCTTCCCTTATCGTATTGTAGGACGCGAGGTGACCTAGTATTGGCATTCCGTAAATTTGATGGCAATTTCGGTGTTATTATGTCCTAATTAGGATGCCTTGTGAACTAACTTGAGACAAAGATCCGAGTGATACTCAAATCACGATCATTGAAACCTTGTATTACATCAGTAGTCAGAATTATTAACGAACATTATTACGAATGATGAAACTTCGACGTATCACTAAAGTGACACAAAAATCTGAGTTGAAACCCATAGTCCTCCTGTTGAATGACCTTTTAGAGCAATTTTCCCTAGTCTACCTTGGGGGTGCAACTAATTTTCAAGACGGTAAGCATGAAAGAATAAGTACCATGAAGTTTCACGTATATATAAAAAATGTGCCCTACGTTCCAACCATAACTTTGATTGGTACAGATGGATGTCAGTGCAGATAAAAGGCAACATTGGGTAGCTATTCTCAGAAAAAACCATTTTACTGACTTCTTACATAATTAAAATACCCATTAATTACACAAAACTGTCTTACAAGGACACCCATGTGTTTTCCTCACAGATTCGCAGGGCGCGCCTACCCGTTTAATTCATAACGCCCACTTAGCAACAAATAGACATCTGCATATGTTAGAATAACTTTATTTTATTTCCCTATACGAAACCTTTACTTTAAAATTTCCTGACAAAATTTCAAAATGCGTAAACGTACTGATGACCAACAGTTTTGATAAGTTGGGTTTCTGATATTTTTTCATTTACATCTCAATACAGAAATCATTGTCGAAAGGATGCTAGCAACCCACAATAATCGAAATAAAAACGAAACTCTAATATTAAAAGTTATTCTCAATCCTTTATAACTATGGATCCCACCAGTTTTATGTGAAGTCCGTTCTTCCATCTTTCAGAGTCTCTTCCCATACACCCTCAGTACACAACGTATCGTCAGGCTGCATGTAAACCAAATATAGTCTAAACGTTACTTGTGTATCAATTACCTCTGCAATTTTTCTCTACGTGTTGACGCAATCTATCAAGAATAGCACAAAGTGCGTGGTAGATACTCTGTGATTAGTTTACACTGAGAATAAATAGTGACTGATGAACATATCAAGTAGCAGTTATTACTGAATTCATTCTGTATTGCTGAAATTGCCGTGGCTAGAGTGATTCATTTCATGCCATCTTATGTATAGGGAAACTAAATTCTATTTTGTTACTTTAAGAAGATATTGGGTTTTGGGAGGTATAACATGTACAAAAGCTTTCCTCAAGTAATTAACTATAATGTCTGAATCGTTTTGGTTTTTATATAACAGTCTATTATCTTAATTATCGTCTGTCACTTCGTAGTCTCACAATTCAGATAGGATAAATATTGTGTTTGATATCAAGTTTCGTGACATATTTGTGACTCTCTAAATGTGTCGACACTTTTAATTTAGATCTGGTGAAGATAATGTGCCTTGGTAGTGTTAAATTAGACCAGTTTTTTCCAGAACCCTTGACTATTTCGTGTTGATGGATTGTTTAGCAAACACTTCTAAGAGACGAGCATTCAATTTCCATGATTACTATCATCGTTTTAGAGCCCAGTATTGTGGCCATGTGTATGGCAACTATATCATTTTGTCCAAAGGGCTGGTAACAATAATGAGTTGGTCGCTGATGTTACAGCAATCCACCACTATATTATGTAGATTACTTCAAGTTCGTCAAAAGACCGTCCATCAATATCCTCACGTTCATTCACGAACGCCTGAGTATTCTCTTTCCTAAGTGTCAAACTTGTGGAGGGCTTTACAACCCACTTTGTGCGATTGCTGTGCGAGTAAAATAAAAAATTCCTTCATATATGTTCCTCCATGACCATTCCCATGGTCTTTCTTATATGTATCAATCCTTCGACCGTTGCTTGCATCTAAGTATATGTTGCCTCATTTGGTTTGTTGGCGATTACTGTCACCAAACCGCATGACCGAGCCATATCATTTCGATCCCCTGTTGCCGCGTTCACTATTGTTGACCTTTACTTAGCGTCATATGTTGAATGTAAATCTTCTCAGTAGTGATATGTTCAGCTTCAGAGGACACGTGATTAAGAACCAATACTTCTACGCTACTATCCCACCACAATCAACGTAACGTTGGTTCGATATCAAATCGAGTGGGATTGTCACAAGTCACAGGTTACCAAAAGAATAATAAGAATCCTCTGTGTATTGATAAACTGAAAGTTGAATCAAAAAGAAGGCGGCAAAGACTAATTTGGAAATACATGTTGTAATTTCAAAAATGTTTGATTTAATTTTTAATACGCGTAAAATGAAAATCCACGTGAACATTACATAATCACTGAGCAGAAAAGAATTATCATGATGAAGAATGATTTAGTATAAAGCTATTTGAACGATTCACATCCAGATGAATAGTAATGATCTGTAGTTAATAGCTTAACCTATGGGGAGTTCAAGGATTTTGTGCTGATAAATAGAAGGACAATCAATACTGTATCAGTGTTGATATTGGTGTAAACTTCGGTTTGAATCAGAAAGACAGTTAACGTTTATGCCGGCCTGCTATTCATATAAGTTGATTTACAAGTACATTTGCATTCCACGGGGGTGGTGGAAGAATTCTAACTAGTGTTTCAGTCAATTTGTTAATTTTAATGCGGCCATTGAATCTGGTGGTGGAGTAGTGTAGGGATAGTGCAATGTCATTGAATCCTAGCCGAATCATTTGGCGATTGGGTCACGGAACGACCAAAAATTTGCTGATCCTCGTCAAGGTTGAGGACGACCAACATGCATCAATTAATTGCACGTCAGTGACTGGTCCATGCGATGGTGGTCGCACTCTCTTCCTTGTACCTACTCCTATCAACATATATCTGTAACAACGTTGTCTGTGCTGTATGGTCATCAAGATAGCCACAGTACTTGTATACGACGTATGGGTGATCAATGTTAGATACCGACCGTAATGTATGACTTCGGTGCTAGTTAGCTCTCAGTCATTCTGAACAGAGCATCTATGTTGGTGATTTACAATAGCTAACCGCGGAGAGGAAGAGCTTCAACTAGTTGTTCAGTTGGTTTTCAAGTTTAATACTATTTATTTATTAACGAGAGATTTTCTCTGCCTCGTTATTGCTTAGCCGTGGTAGGAATTAGTAAAACTACCAATATGTATGAACCGTTATCAAAAGATCACTAATTACTCAAAAATAATTGTGACGGCAAATAAGTCTCCGAAATTGATAGCTCTTCAAATTTTCGATATTTGATGTTGACCGCATTAGTTTTAATGGACTCACACAGCTGAAAGTGCTAGGTCACGCATCCCTATCAGATCACAGTGGATACGATATACTTCACATCCCCTACAGCCGTTAGCCAGCATAGATTATTTACTTCTTGATATATCTATATTCTGTCAAATATATCTTCGAACATCGTCACTTCGGACTTCTGATTTGACTGGGTTGGCACGTTTCGATTATGAAAGATGCTACTAATTAAGGTGTTGTCAAACTTCGAATACTTCTGACATCTTTGTACTAATAATTATGTGAATTTCAGACAGATAGCTAACAGTAACCCCTTAAATATGAGTAGGTCCGTGAGAGATGTGCTCTGGACTCCAATGTTCACATGTGCAATAGATCGACTACTTATATTCATACACACTGGTTGCTGGTGTATACAAACCAGTTGAAAGTGTCACGTTTTGGATAATATAGAAATCAGTTTGTATGAGCGAGTCAACCAAGCTTATTCCCCACAAATATGGGTGATATGGTGTTGTACGATGAGTCCGGTTAAATGAATCTTTACAAGATTATAAATGGCGAGTCCTGCTCTTGTGGTTATCGAGAAGAGCACAAGCTGTAATCAACGAGAGTACAACTCCTAACTCATATCTGTGATAATGGCATAAACTTCAGTCAGTGTTGGGGTAAATTCGACAGCGATGTTTCCGGATTATTATTATTATTTTTATTTGAGTTGTCCAACAAATTGGATGGATAAAAGACCAGTTGTGACCAGTAGTAGTGACCCTAAAGGAACCAAATTAAACATAGTGTTGCAACCAATCCCTGGGTGTGCGTGGTACTACTGACCTTTCCAATTGTTTGATTAAGTAAGGATCCAGAGTCCAGATAAATACGAGGCTCTCACCACGCCAACGATCTGAAACGTGCCTAATATTGTGGAAACGTTAGAGAATAAACCGATCGAAGCTTCTGGAATTTTGTCTTTGCTGTTCGGTAATGAATCTGGAATACGGTTATAAATTTAAGAGTATGGTGATGCATGGTTACCTATCGTATGAAGGTAATAGACACCAATAAACTCATCATCTTGAGAGAGGTGTAAGATGAGAACTTGTGGGGAATTTGAGGGGTTGTAGCGTGGCGTCGAGTTGAGATTAACTGTGAACACCGCTACCAGAAAACACGTGCCAGATAAATCAGAAGGCGAGGTTGAATGTAACCAGATTTATTTCGTTGGCGATCTCGTGGTATTGAACGAATACCGAGATCGTGCCAAGAAGTGGTACAAGTGGAAGCAGAAGACAGGAGTACGTGCGAACAGTACCAAAAACCGCGGAACAATGATGGAAGGTAATGGAAGCACAAAATGGCTATAATTAGCACAGTTAAACAAAAGCACATTAAAACAAACACTGGTACAGTTGGTTATAATAATAATTGTTTTTATTAAACCAGTCGTGTTCTCGTGATAAATGTGAGTCACTACAGGAGCCCCCCGCTAGAAAGGGTTTACACTTTCGATAAATAGCGGTTTGAATCGTGGGACTGATCGGCTGACGAGCGATTGTAGGACGGAAGAATTGGCGAACAGGAAAGCGATCGTTGATCGTCGAGTTGCCAACGAAGGTCGTTTTCGGAGAACGGTACCAGGAGCGATGTGTTGTATTTATTGCTCGAGTTGGCATGCTACACCAGAGTGGTTTGTATCCAGAATCTGAAGATGGCGTTCGTAGGGGTCCGGACCAGAAACGCTGCAGACGTAGGACGAAACCACGTTGATCCGATGAACCAGAAGCGACCATAACGACCAAGTTCGAGACCAAGCGTGTGCCAAACATTCGAAACGAAGATATCGACTGAGTACGTTGACAAGAGCGTGGGTGATCAGGCCAGCTTTCGCCAAAGTTGACTGAAGTCGACGGAACCAAACGGAGATGGTCGAAGGCGTGGGCTCAGGAAACAAAAAGAAAATCAAAAAAGAGAAGAGTGTAGCATGCGTGTAGTATAGGAATAATCCTACACCGTATCGGTTTTTAACTGTGCGACTAGTCGCGGAAGCGTACGGGTAACCGTACTCGGCGACCGGAACGTGAGACGGCAGTCTCGTTCGCGTCGCGTGAGCCTGCAATCTCATCCGAAGTCAAGGGCGGCGTGGTCTGCTGATCTGGACGTGAGACTGTCGTCTCGTCCGTAGACGGTGCAGATGACGCGTGCTGTTGACTGGGACGTGAGAGTGAGGTCTCAGGTGCATCTAGCGTGGGACC